AATGCTTTGCTACCCTAGGCTTGCCCTCACAGATAAAGACTGACAATGGCTCCTGTTTCGTCAGTGCCTCAATACAGACTTTCTTTAAAACTTGGGGCATCTCACATTCCACGGGAATACCTTATAACCCACAGGGTCAAGCTATAGTTGAGCAAAATCACCAAACACTCAAAACTCAACTATTTAAACAAAAAGGGGGAATGAGCCCCCATCAGCAACTAGGGATAGCCCTATTTACCATAAACATTTTAAATCACTCAAAAAATACCTTGCAATCTAAATTTCAAGCTCACTGGGGACAAGAAAAACACAAAACCCCAAGTAGAGGTGAGGTGGAAGGACCCAATTATGGGCCACGGGCCAGTGGAGAGGACCGGACCCACTGTTAACGATGGGAAGGGGATTCGGTTGTGTTTTCCCTATGGGAGAAAATAAGCCTATTTGGGTACCAGCCAGAAACCTCAAATATCTCCCCCTACAGGGTGATGGCTCCAACCAAGGTGACTAACAGGGAAAAGACTCTGGTGGAGCCAACACTTGGCCCTTAAGGCCCAGAAGAAACAAACAAAACATAGACAGACACCTCCTCATAATCGCCAAGGGAGACCTACCCTTGAGGAAGCCTTTCTCTCTCTGTCTCTTACAGATCAAAATGAGGAAACTTACCTTCATGCTCATCCTGTCACTCCTGACAATCGAGGAGCTGATGCTAACAAGATCATCTGGACCTATAGAGATCCTGAATCCACATCAGCCCCAAAAGGTCACATGGTTGGTGACCAATGCGGCTACTGGAGTGATTGCCAACAGCACTACCAAGGTGACACCACCGGACACATGGTGGCCTGACCTGGAGGTAGATCTCTGTGCCCTGGTTACCACATCGTGGGATGTCGGTGACTGGACTCAAGGGGGGACCCAGCCTGAATGTGGGGACACAGGACGTGGATGCATATTACCATTAACAAGGTCCCCCAGGGAACCGGCGTGCTCCCGTGTGCTCAAGCAGGATGCATTATTACAGACAGAATTTTATTTGTGCCCAGGGAGTGGTAGAACTTCGCAACAGCTGCACAACTGTGGGGGGCTGATTCTTACTACTGTTATAACTGGGGATGTGAAACCACAGGGATGGGGTATTGGATTAAGGACCGGGGACTGATCACTGTCAAAAGGATAGAGACCTAGACTTTCTGCAAATCCACTATATGGAAGATGTACAAACTTTCATTGCCACCCCCTCTGTATAACCTTTATGGAGGAGGGACGGCGGGCGAGGGGCTGGGACTTGGGGATTGAGACTCTATGTATCTGGACATGACCCTGGTCTCCTCTTTATGGTTAGAAAGCGGGTTGAGCCCCTTGTGAGGCCAATCACACCTGGACCGGCCAACTTGGGGGCCAGGACGGCCAAGCCTTACCCGCCTGCCATGAGCCTCTCCCCCACAGGACTTACACTTTCCCCGCAAAACCTTCATTCAAAACCCAGAGCGAGACCCAATGGGTTTAAGGATCTGACCCCAAAGGGAGGGTCAGAGGTCCTAACGGCTATCCAGTTTGCATATAGAGTTCTCAACTTGACCCGTCCGGACCTTACCTCCTCATGCTGGTTGTGCCTAGAGGCCGGTGTACAGTTGATTGAGGCACTAGGTGTAATAGGAAGGTTTAATTACACCTCTGACGATCAAAAGTGTTGGTGGGGGGGGTTGTCCACCAAGATGAGTGGGCTCTCCATACCTGTGACAGATTACAATCTGATCTGTGTCACTACCTTAGATTATCCCTCCTCCGGGAGGGCTGCTTTAACATAACACAGGTGGCAGCAAATAACAGTAATCAGTGGGTAGTTCCTGCTGACCCAGCGATTTACTGGTTGTGTCAAAAGTCAAGGCTAACACCCTCTCATTGACAGTCCTCACACATACTGATGGGGACACATGTGCCTTGGTAATGCCTTTCCCCCATGTGCTATATCATTCCTGGGGGGAAATGGAGGCATGACAATCACTTAGGTTTAAGAGGGAGTTAGTCACCACCTTAACAGTCTCAACGCTCATGGGACTAGGAATGGGATGGGCAGCCCTAGGGGCCACCTCTCTGGCCCTTTCCAAACAGGGCCTCCGAAGGATTCAGGCAGACATGGATGCAGGCTTAGATAAACTGGAAACGGCGGTAAGGTTCCTCCAACAATCTGTTTCATCGCTGGCACAAGTTACATTACAAAATAGAAGAGGGGGTTAGACCTTTACTTTATGCAACAAGGAGGGCTGTGCCTAGCACTGGAAGAGCTGCTTCTATGTTGACCATTCAGGGGTAATCACAAAAAACTTAGATGAAGTCAGAAAGGAGATTAATAATCGACATGACCAGAGGGACCAATCCCTGTTTGAACAATGGTTTAATGCCTCTCCCTGGTTAACAACGCTAATCTCAACACTGCTGGGACCCTTGGTGATCCTCACCCTTGTTTGCACCTTTGGACCATGTATCTATGCCAGAGTCATGAAAATGATTCGAGGACAAATAGCACAGGTACAAGCTATGGCGATACGTGTCCATTATGACCAGCTCCCTACCTCCCCCATAAAGGAGACATACACCGCCTCAGTGGGGGGAGGAGCTAAGCAATTGGACCAGGCACAAAAAGTAAGAAAAAGTGTAGGTAATTGGAGACTAACCAGGAGGAAAATGCGTGAGCACCTTGTGATCACCATAGTAATGCACTGAAAGGAGCCTGCGTGCTCTACGTGACCTTCCACAGGATTGGAGGATACATTCCCGCCTATGCTAATGATTGTGGTTTTTGCCTTTATAAGCGTTGTAACACTTACAATGAACGAGTTCCTGCATGACTAAACTCCCTGCTGCATCTGAGAGTCTTGGGGAGGCAGGTGAACGGGCGAGCAGTGCACTTACCCCTCCTCAGCCCCCATTGCTGAGCTCCACGTCCTGCCTCGCTGGTGGGGCAGAGGCTCGACATCCAGCCATTCTCTTCCTGCTTCCATGAACTAGTGTCAGTTTCTGTTGCTAACCTCAAAACCTGAGCAAAATAAAGAGAATGTAAAAGGGTAAGGAATGAAATTAACAAGAGAAAAAAAAGTCTATGGCAGTGATGAGTAAATTAAAAAACTGTTGTAAAAGACCAATCAGTCAGTAAGGCTCTCTAATGAGGCAATCATTAGAAAAAAGTGAGAGTTACAAATACTTTTAGAAAGGAAAACTATATATGAAGGACTCCAAAATTTAAAAATTATGAGAGACAATCTACATCTCTAAATTTGAACAAACCAAAGAGGTAAATTATCAAAATCAACTAAAGAAGGAAACTACATTATTGTGGTGGTTAATCTTCACTGTGGATCAACTTCACTGGATTTGGAATCATCCCTGGATGTGCCTGGGAGGGAGTTTCCAGAGAAATGCTCTAAGGAAGGAATATGCACCTGAATGTGGACAGCACCATCCCATGGACTGGGGTCTTAGACTGCATCAAAAGGAAAAAGGGAGAAAGTGAGCTGAGTACCAGTGCTCATCTCTCAGCTTCCTGTCTGAGGATGCAATGTGACCAGCTGCCTCATGTTCCCACAGCTCTGACTGCTCCCTCCGCCATGCCTTTCCCACCAGGATGGACTGTCCCCCTAAAACCATGAGAGAAAAAAGGGATATTTAGTTGGGGGTGGGAGGTGGATCCAAGAGAGTTAAGGGGAAGAGTGGGGAGATAGGATAAAAACGCAATATATTTATAAAATTCCTTAAAAATGGATACAAATATATATTTTAAAACTAATACTAATGACCAAGGAAAAAGTACCAATGACTTGTTTTGAAAAGAACTCAGCTCCTTCTCAAAGGGCACAGATGGAGCCTGTACAATTTAAACTATTCTTGGGTACAGAAGAAGAAAGCAGTTGAGCATCACCTACACAGTCATACACTAACTTGGAACATGGGAGACCCACCTCTCCCAGACCGTTTAGTAGGATCGGGATGGCTCTGAGGACTGGTCATGCTAGTCTGACTCACCATCACCACCCTTGCACCTTTTCTATCTGATGTCAGCTACCCCTTGATCCACTAAGAAGATGCCCACATCTCTCTTATCAGAAGAAGAACACTGTTGATTCCATATTCTCTTAGTCACTGTGAACAAACAGAGGCACACACAACTGTGGTCCTTGTCCAGTCTCACTAGCATGAAGTTAGAGAGAAGACTCAGGCAGGGTTGGGAGCCAGGAGCTAATAGTACCTTCAGCTTTGGTCCTGGAGAAACCCTGGAGCCAAATGGAGGCCAGGGGACAGGCATGAAGCACAAGTCTTCAGAACAAGGTGGGACCTGGTGAGGGTCTACAGAAAGACATTTCTTTAAAGTGGAGACTAAGGGTGGGGGGCAATGTTTGTTTTGGTGTGAAGCATTGCCAAAGTGGGTTCTAGGTCTTAGGAGCTCTTTGAAGACCAGATTCAGGGAGCATAGACTTGATGACACACGAGTTAATAATGCTCCATTTCCCTGGCTGGGCTTTCAAGGCTGAGGGTCCACTAGGGAACGCTGTGTAACTGACACACCCGGGGACTAGTGTGGCGAATTCTCCGGTAAGGAATGGAATGGAAAACGTTGTTTATGATGTTTCAAAAGCTGCGGTTCTTGGTGCAGTTAACAGGGGGCTCAGCTCACCAGCGAGACTAGTACTAAATTTACTAGTAAATTACGAATTAACTCCCTCCCGAGGCGCCAAAATCAGGCAGACTGCACCCAAACCATGCGCCTCACTGCTCACATCCCAGCGTTTCTTTCTCAAATCATACATCTATCCAAAATTCGCAAGGGGAAGGGCGACGTGGTTGCCAGTGTTTCGGAGCAAGTCCTAGAAGGGCAGAGAGGCGTCCAGAACAATCTCAGAGCCAACTGCATCCCTTTCCCTGCCCAGAAAGAAGTCCTGTGTGGCTTTCTGGGATCCGGCGGCCATCTCCACCTCCAGCTTTTTCCCAGGCCCATCTTCTCCGCGACTCAAGTCCTCCAGGTCGCCACGCAACAATGAAGCGTGGGCGGCCCCAGCGGCTTCATTTGCATACCGCCACGGCTCGGCCAATGGGCTGCGCCGGGGCTTTAGAACGCAGTGTTGCCATCTGCGTGCGCGCGTGTGTGCCAGTGTGACAGCGCCGTGGTCGTGGCCGAGGGAGGCGGGCCCGGCGGAGCCTAGGCGCGCGGGGACCTCCCGAGGTGCCCGCTCCGCTCAGCGTGTCCCGGCCGCGTGGCCCGGCGGAGCACGGAGACCACCCCGCTCCAGCCGGGCGCTGTCGCGATGTCGGTGGCGGGGCTCAAGAAGCAGTTCCACAAAGCCAGCCAGGTAGGGAGGCGCGCAGGGACGAGCGAGGGGCACCTGGAGGCGGTGTCCCCGAAAGGATGGCGGGTTGTTAACCCCGGGTCCCCGAGGGGCCTCCCTCAGGCTGGGTTTCCTCCGGCCTAGGAGGACGCTAGGGCGGGTGGCGGTCGCTCGCTCAGTGCTCCGCGCGTTGCGCCTCCTCCCCCCCCGGGGCCCTGGTCCCCGGCTGTACCCCGGGCGGTTGTAAATCTGAATGGTTCTGCGAAGGCGGGAGCAGAGGTGGTAGGCTCAAAGAGCTCCTCCCCCCATGCTCGCCCAGGGGAGGGCCCCAGGGAGCGCGACCCCAGCAGACCTCCCTGGAGTCCCCCAGCCTTTTGGCCGGGAAGCACCCTGGGGTGCGTCCTGCCATCTCTGGGGATGCGAAGTACTTGGCGCCTGGCTGGGCCCTGCCAGTCTCTGCTTGGCTTCCTGGGTCTGGGCTCATTTCCATCGTCCTTCCCTTCCATTCCCTTCCATCATCCCTATGTTGGCCCTGAAATGGCAGTGTGATGGGGAGACCCTAAAGACACTTGTAAACAAACCATGCTAGACACACCTCCGCGCAAGAGGATGGCAGGTGACACAGAGGAGGCTTCATGGAAAGCTTCCAGGAAGAGGAGATGGGTTATTTGAGAATTAAACGTGGCTGGGGGCTGTGGGAGGAGAGGAAGGACACTCTGAACAGAGGAAGGTGGAGAACAGGGAGACGGGAAAACCTGTGCGTGTGTGTGTGTGTGTGTGTGTGTGTGTGTGTGTGTGTGTACCACGAGCAATTGTGCTTTCTAACATTACAGGCTCTTGGAACAGTGGCAGAGCCCACATCTTAAAACCTGTTCACCAGCTGGATCAGATCAGTTGCCCCGCCCACAGCCCTTCCCCAGCTTCAGTTTTGGTAAAACCTAGGTGGACAGATTTAATCTAGAATCAGAATCCATGGCAAGGCCGCACCCTGGCTTCTCCCATACATCAATCCTCAAATTGAAGCTGGAATTAGAAAACTCTTCCTTCCCATCCCAGGGTGACAGACCCTGTTGTCCCGTCACTCACAGCCAGTCCATGAGGAAACTGGGTGATGGCTGTCTCCAGGTGGGGACATAGGGTGGACAGTAGTGCTGTTCAGTGTGATAGAAGTCTTGGAGAAGGGGCCAGTTGGGTGAGAGCACAGATGGTGGATTCATTGTTGCACCACCAGCACTTATAGAGGTCCTTGGGACATTTAGTTATCACTGCCCTTAGGGCATGGGCATATCCTCCTTGACGTACAGGGTTGAGGCCACAATCGGAACTGGTGATCTGGGGCAATTCCCAATTAAAGATTTAAAAACCCGAATTCTGTGCTGGGTGAGGCGGCACACGCCTTTAATTCCTGCACTTGGGAGGCAGAGGCAGACGAATGTCTGCCCTACTTGGTGAGTTCCAGGCTGCTTGGGGCTACACGGAGACCCTGTCTCAAAAAGACCAAAACCAGATCCCCAAACCAACCAACCAAACCAAACCAAACCAAACCAGCCACTTCCCCCCATGGTGAGGAAAGTGGAAACATGCAGGAAAGTCTACATAAAAACGCTCATGGGCCCCACATTCAGGGGCAGTGCTTGCTCAAGTGTTTCCTGAGTACTGAGCACCCCATAAATATTTACTGAAGTTTAGAAGCTGAATAACCTAGGAAGGAAAGAGTGGGGGTGGGGGGGGGGAGAGAGACACAGAGAAAGAGACACAGAGAGAGAGAGAGAGACAGAGAGAGAGAGAGACAGAGACAGAGACAGAGGCAGACAGAGAGTGGTTGAGTGGGTGTTTAAATGTTGGCATTGTTGTCAGCAAGTACTTCTGTGGTAATAGGGCACTGGGGTGGCCCAGAGCCTTCATGGGCAGGGTACCACCAGAGTAATTACAAACCATACTCCTGACATTGTCTTCCTTAGTACTGACAGGGAACGAGTCCCTTATTCTAATATTATTTTCCTCTTCTTGGCTATGGACTTTATAGGAGCAAATGTCCATGATATCTCAGAGCTGTAAGTCCTTGGGTGATTCAGGCTGGCTTCTGACCAGGAACCAGATGAATGGTTGAAATCCTCAGAAGGTATTGGCTTTAAGAAATATGCTAATGACAAGTGGCTTGGTTTAACTACTTAAAATTAGTTAAAAAGGACATGAAAAATGTGAGGGAACCATGGACATTCAGTGGTCACTGTCCTTGGGATAGCTGCATTCCCACTTGGGGTCTAATATGTCCTTCTCTCCCTCCCTCCCTCCCTCCCTCCCTCCCTTCTTTCCTCTCTTCCTTCCTCTGAAATCATTTGTGATTTCATTTGAAAGGAGAGACATCACAGATTCTCTCTGGGCTTAGTATACAAGTACGCTGTGGTAAAGTACCCAAAAGATAAATTTTAAATCTATTCTAGACATCTTTCTCCCTCCCTTGCTCCCTCCCTTCCTCTCTCCCTCCCCTTCTTCCCTGCCTATATCCTTCCCCTCCCTCTCCTCCCTCTCCTCCTCTCTTTCTATAGTGTCTCCTGTAGTCCAATCTGGCCTCCAATTTGCTACATATCCAAGACTGGCCCCAAACATCTTTTCTTTTTTTAATTTTAAAAAGTATTTTTATTAATTCATTGAGAATTTAACACAATATATTTTGCTCATATTCACTCCCAGCTCTTCCCCAAACTTCTCCCAGATCTACCCCACCTCTCAAAACCTCCCATCCAAACTTTATGTCCTCTTTTGTGTGTGTGTTTATGTGTTTTACTTTTAAGTAACCTTGACTCCAATTTGTGCTGCCCATATACTCCTGGAAATGAGGCTATCCACTGTAGTGTGGTAGACAAACCAGGAGTCACACTCTTAAAGGAAAAATTGCTCTCTTTTCCCCAGAAGCCAGCTGACACTCCCTCTCCTAGAAGCCAACAACTGTCCATAGTTTCCAAGTTAGAGATGGGGGTTCATGAATGCTTTCCCATTCCATGCTGGAATGTTGACTGGCTTGATCTTGTGCAGGCAACCACAGCTGCTGTGAGTTCATGAGTACAGTGGTCCTGTCATATCCAGAGACACTATTTTGCTCTGGTTCTTCCAGCTTTCTGGCTCTTTCTGTCCTTTCTGCTGTGATAGTCCTTGAGCCTTGGGGAGGGCCCCAAACTTCTTATCCTGCTTTCATTTCTGGAGTGCTGGAATTGCAGGCATGTAGCACTGTGTGCAGTTAATGCTGTGCTGGAGATCAGACTCTACCAACTAAGCCCAGTTCTACCCCAGCCCCTGTTCTAGAAGTCTTTCAGTTAGATATCATGCAATACAACAGACTTGTTGAAGAAATTAGGCTGGATTTAATTTGGTAAGAGGGAGCAGAGTAATAAAAAATGCCAGATGTTCTCAAACAACGTTTTCACAGTGGGTTTTAATGCATTCAGAACTTTCCTAGAGGCAGGAAAAGGGAGTCCCGGCTGATGTCAATGGCTAATAATTCCCAGGGATTCAGGCCTGGCTCCTTGCCATGATCAGCTCTGTGACCTCAGAAATGTGACTTAACCCATCTGGACCTTGGCCTTCTTCTCTGCTGGATGAATGAGAGAATTCAGAAGCCAGGTCCCTGTGCTAAACTTGATGCAATGTTTGTAGAATTCGGAGTACACTAATACATCTTTTCTTAAAGATTCATTTTTGAAATTTATGTATGTGTGTGTGTGTGTGTGTGTGTGTGTGTGTGTGTGTGTGTG